CATTTACAGTACTGACAGAACTTCCTCGGCTGCGACTTCCAGTAATCAGCCCTTCATCACACACACAGACACACACACACACACACACAGACACACACACACACACACACACACACATAAACAAACACACACGGCATTAGAGTGTATTGTGCTGTTTTTAAACACACAGTTCCGCTCCGACGAAACGAGTAATGATCAACGCAAACAGAATCACTCACATTGTGAAGGTTTGACGCCCTAAAATCCACTAAATGTGCATAAATGCTCCTCAAATGTACATGCTCACTGATGAGGGATCACTGCCGGCGCTTGTTGATGACGTCATTGAGCGCGCGACAAACTTTTGAAGAATCGGAAAATGCCGATTAAAACTGGACTCGTGAGCAGGACAGATCGGATGTGAGGAAAGAAGTTCTCGAATTACAGACAACGTTTAAACCGTAAAACTATTCGCGTCTGTCCGTGTTCATTTGAAGGATAACTCCCTATCTGGTGCGATATGTGACAGAGTCTCCCATATGGTCTAGCGGTTAGGATTCCTGGTTTTCACCCAGGCGGCCCGGGTTCGACTCCCGGTATGGGAAGGAGATTCTTTTTCGTTATTGACCTTAAACACACCGAATGTCAACAGTGCGAGACGTGTACAAATAAAGACTGCCCAGAACGGGAACATTTCAGATCAATTATTAGATTCTCTCGCTTAATGTGTGATGTTTTTATATCAATTTTAACACGTAACGGGGTACACTTTACATTACATTAACTGCGTGTCATTCAGCAAATAAAACAGTCACTACGTTTCATAATTTTGTGTTTGTTTTCAAGATAATAAAATAATAATCATAATAATTACAAAAAATATTATTTAAACAGAACATGTCATATATTACAGCCGATGATCAGCAAAATGGACAGCCGAACCTTTGAGTGATAAACTAAGCAGCATGTGTTAGGCGTTATTAATGTGTTCATATTCAGATTAGCTCTGTCCTATATGTAGTAAACTATATAGTTATATTTAGAATATAAAAATGACACAAACATTGAAATATTATACTATTTTGAGAGTAATATCCTATCTTACTGCTACACCGCTGTCTTCAGGTCAGAATAATTTGCTCAGATATGGAAAAACCTCTGAAATCTTATTAAAGCATGAGGTGATCTTAAATTGTAGATGCTAAAAAGCCCAACAAATGAGACTGAATAAATGTTTAAGATCCGTCTCTCACAGAGTCTTAATAAATCTGAATCAGGGGTTTTAGAGTCTCACACACACACACACACACACACACACACACACACACACACACACACACACACACACACACACACACACACACACACACACACACACACACACACACACACACACACACACACACACACACACAAACAGAATAAAAACAAACAAAACTTTATTTGCACTTCAATAGTACAATCCTAAAATATCAGTCATGAACAAATATTCCAGGAGAAATCTGTGGCGGAGCAAACGCCAATTAAATAGATTCAACACATATAAATCAGCAGAAGAATGAATATAAATAAACCCAGAGCTACATCTGAAACAGCCCGACTCCAGAGCAGAACGGAGAAATCCCCAATGCAGATTCACACCGTCACAAACAGAACCAAAGAGTTCAACACGTTCACAATCAGTGCAGATATTGGTCCATACGCATCAGTGATTCAAGAGTTCATGTCATCTATTGATCATATAAACACACACACACACACACACACACACACACACACACACACACACACACACACACACACTGCAGTGTTTCAGCACCTGTAAAGAGTTAAAAGTGTGTAAAATTTTGTTAAAACCCAAAAACTCAGACTCCATCTTCAATCACACAGACCAGCTCAGGATCATTAGTAGTGATGAAGGTTTGATGATTTCACCTGTATAATATGTCCTTTATGAAACATATTCTGAAATGTTGCAGAAATGGCCGTCTGCGTATGTTTTCTTTCAACCACTAGAATTTGAAATATGTACATATGCCTATATGTTTATATATATATTGATAAGTGGCACATAGTTATTGCAATATATATATATATACAGTGGTGTGAAAATTAGTTTGACCCGTTTGATTTCAAATTCTTTTGCAGGTTTATCAAAAAGTAATGCTTCAGATCATCAAACTGATTTAAATATTAGTCAAAGATAAACTCATCATGCAGCGTTTAAATGAAGGTTTTTATTATTAAGGCAAAACTAAACGCAACACACACAGCCCTGTGTTCAGCCACACTGGAGGCTTTTCCAGCATGAAGCACCCATTTAAGGTCTAATCACAGCATCTCAATTGGATTCAGGTCAGGGCTTTGACTAGGCCAGAAGGTGGGGCACTTTTGTAGATTCAGGCCCTGTTTACACTAGTGCATTTTAGTTTTAAAAATTTGTTTTAGATCAAAAACGATCCGCATCCACACTGTCGTTTCACCTAGCGTCTCTGAACATATCTCCGTCCACACTACGCCACCATAAACGTATATGACGTGACCATTGGCGCACTCTGGGCATGCACGTTCTAGTATAAACAGGAAGCATGCGTCTCGCTCGGCATTTGGTTATTGTTGGTCAACAAACGCCGGTTGAACAATGAACGCGATGGCAAAGAAAGCAACAGAGGTATATTTGTGGACAGACGACGAGGTCGAGCTGTTACTAAATGTAACAAATGAATAACTACACAATGCTGCCTACAACCCCTGATGAAGGGGGGGTTGGGGGGGGGGGTTGGATACGTCATACGTCAATTTGCATATCACTGACGTCATCACGTTCTACCGTTTCTGTTTAACAGCCTATGGTTAATAAAGGGGTATTTATAATTGCACTACATATAAGCATGTTTATTTAACTAAATTTATTGCTGTTTGAATACAGTATATCATTATAGATGTGTAACGTTAGTGAATGTGCAGTAATCTTTCATATGAAATAAACTCAGACAAGTTCAGAAACTGTCACTAAAATATCTGTGATTGTGAACAAGAAAAGAATAAACGGTCCAATTAAATTGTTAAAATAAAGGAGAAGTAGATCGGTT